AAAATTAAATTAAGGAATAATTTTCTTTATTCTAGGCAGCTTACGTTATTGTAATCAATGTCATAACCGTCCTTATATTGCAGATCATTACCGCGAAAAACGGCCGTCAAGAGGTATGGATTCTCACATCGTCGTTCCAAAAATTCATGACCGGGGCTATGAGCTCGAACGAGACAAACTTCCGAATACAAGCCGGTTATGTGGACGAGCTGATTCGCGGTACCAAGTGTAACGGTGCGCGTCTCAACTTTGACGGTTACGGGGCGCCGATACTCGCCAAATGAAGATCGTGGCACCGCGGGGAGTTCGATAATTCGCGTTTTCAGACGGTGACGTCCGTCCGGTGGCACAAGTATCCGAACTTTTTCGCGGCGTACCACCACTTTCCATCCTCCATCCGGCCATCGTATTCATTCCCGAGAATTTTTACTAGACCATCCTTCTTCCCCTGGATCGTGAGATCGATCTACCGTCACAGACCAGTCGATTACACCATCTTTATTGATCACAGTTGATTGGACGCGCGATATTACTACACGTACCTATACAATATTCCCGATGCGAAGGACAAATGGCTCTCTCTCCATAATATTCTCAAGATTTTGTAGAATTTATCAGCTTGAGGAGCCATGAAACTACTCGTGGTGCCAGTTACCTTTTACAATCCTTTTACAATAGTTCATATTCTGGTGCTTTGTGGTGTACACAATTTAATAGCAATAACCACCACCAATGGAATATATATATTATGTATATATTAATGTATATATATGTCACAGTCTTTTTGTATAATCAGCCTTTTTGTAAAATGACGCCTTTTTGCATAACGCCTTTGAAAATAACGATTATTCCTCGTAAAATACATGCGTGATAGGGCAGTATGTTTCGTCCCTCCTATGGGAGGGCTCCACCTAAAAAAAAAACTAACCTAAGCCAAACCATTTCTTGGTGTGGGATGGACCTCGCTTCGCGTTGTAAAGTGTTAGCGCGAAGGTATACTTCATTGAATAACCGGGCTAAGTCCGCAATAAAATAATATAGTGGCTGACTTTGCCATCGCTGGATGGGCAGTTGACTTTGCCCATAAAACTGGGTAATGTCGTTATTTTCAAAGACGTTATGCAAAAAGGCTGATTATATTATACGAAAAGGCTGCGACATATATATACAGGGTGTCCCGCAGTAGTTTTTGAGATATAATGTTTAAATTTAGCCAGTTATAGATTACGATTAAACGGAAACATGTCCGTGAACGTCGATAATATTAGTGATCGCGCACTTCACACGAGTACTAATCTTATAATTGGCTAAATTTAAACCCTTATATCTTAAAAACTATTGCTTAAAATAAAAATTTACAAATAACTTTATTATTTAATTTTTCGAAGACTTTCTTGCTATGATATTTTGATTCGCGAATTTCGGGACGCCCTGTATATAATTTTATGTATATATATTACGTATATATATGTATACATTACCGTTTCTAATATAAATAAATATTTTGTTTAATTTTGTTGACAATAGTGGACAAGTATCAGAATGCGCGTGCATTTTTGTATTTTGAGTATTTCTGTGTAATAAACGCGTTACTATTATTATATGCATATCATTGTTACTATTAAGAAATAATACTCATCATTTATATTACATAATAAAACAATAATGAAAAGAACAAAATAAAATAAAATTAGTTATAAATGTATATTAAACAATGTTGTATTTAATAGAAATATCGTATTTAATAAATATAATTATTACAATAAATGAAAATTTATCTAAAATTTTAAAATGGGCTATTTATTTTTAATTGGAAATACTATTCTTTAAAAATATTCGCTTTTTTAAAGTAAATATTTCTAAAGAATATAGCTTATCCCAAATGTATTTTATTTTGGTTAATCGTTATTTTATACATGATAACATTTTTAGATTACATATCTCTAAATTATAAAATACAAATAAAAAAAATATCACTCGTTAAAAAATATTTTATATTATATTAGAAAGCTAATAATAATAATAATATTATTATTATAACAAATGATATTAATATTTGTGATAAAGAATATTGCGTGAGCAAAATTACGTTCAATTGTATTATTTCAAAAAAGGTCAGATTTCTTTCCTCAAACATCTTTTTGAAAAAAAGATTGGCTTAATTAGTTTTAAAAGTTTGAATTTTTTTAATGACTTTTATATAAATTTAAATTAAATGAAAAAGTAGAAATAAAAAAATTCTTTGACATAGAAACAGTAGAAGAAGATCTAAAGCTAATTATTAACGCAATTCTTTTTCATTAGAGAGAAAATATTATTTTTTACATTTTAAGGACAGAAATACGGTAGCTATATTTATATAATTCTTTCATTTTGTAATTAAAAAACGAGACAGAGAAAGGGACTTACACGACGCGCGACGTTGCTTGAAGCTTGCAAAATTTTGACTTCTTTTCTCAGGTATACACGATAGACGTCGCAGGATATTTATAATTTACGGTAACGACAGCGAGGAAATCTGGCGACTCGAATCTAAGGTAGTCCTTCGTGATTCAACCGAGTCACGAATTACACCATCAAGGGCGAAAGTTTCCGATTGTCAGATGGTATCTCGGAAATGACGAAACATCTGAATATATTTGTTTTCTATTTCAAACCTAGGTATACTTTCGCGTAACGTGCAGGGACTATACTGATTTGAAAAATTCGTGATACGAGATTAAAGCACGTCTACACGATACGGAACGTGATTTCTGACAGCATAACCATTGCTATATATCGTCGGGCGAAATTTTTCTTCAGTCTGACCATAGAGTTGTGCCTAGCATGGTGGAAAGCTGCTCAACAAAATGACTTGGTTAGTTTAAAATTAATAAATAATTTATTTAAAATCTTCTCTATAACTGATTTATGCCGAAGTAAACTTTTAGATTAATAAGAGATAAAAAGTATATTTAATAACAAGTTTAATTAAATATCGACAATTATTACAGATACTAAGTTTGAAACAAAATTATGCAAATATTATAATTTTATTTGGAATAAAGCTTCTATCTTTTAAAAACAAAACATCAATAACAAATTTAGATATAACAAATTTTGTTTCAAACCATTATTGAATCAAATGTTTGTATTAAAAAATGAAATAATTTATTAAACTCTTATTAAAATATTTATAAAAATGTTACTGTATATATATATATATATATTTACATTTAATAATATTTAAAACTCTAATTATTCAAATAATGATATATGCACATTAACACTTTTCAAGGGAAAGTTCCGCAAAGCAAAGAAAGGAAAAAAACGCGATGTGGAAACATCGTTACGGATTAATATAACTGCGTATCCATGTATACTAGCAAGTCTTTTTACAGGAAACAGATTGCGTGCCGTAAATAGTGAGTTAGAAATCAGATTAGACTCGCGTTGATCCGGTTTAGTGAAGTATATATTTCGTCTGAAATACGCAAATAAAAATATTGGTGACTTTACAGCAATAATCGGTTCAATTTAGTAAATTACATAACGTGAACTTTAAAATTTCTATCATCAAAGTATTATTTTTAAATACGCAGTAAACCGTATCATATTTTTAAAGATCCAATAGAGCATATCGCATGGCTCAACTGCGAAATGTGGAACTTTTAGTTTTATTTTCCCCTATAGAAAGTTAGTATAACTACTGAAAGTTTTGAAATATATAGGTACTTTTCAATGCATATGTGCACAATGCGTCTGATATAATCTATATATTTTTTTTCAGTTAATCGGTTATGATTCAGTAAATACTAAATAGATTCGTTTCACTTTCCACATTTTTTCACACACAATAGTATTTCCTTATTTTTATAAATGTATATATCTTACAATAAATAATATGTATATAATATTTTAATTGTTATTAATCAAATTTAAAATTGTATCTCCTGCACAAGATACAATGTAACTTATTTTAATTTTTTTAAGAACATTTTTTTTCTCAATGAAGAAAATTATTTGCATGTTACTTAGAAAGTAAAAATTTAATTTGTTGCAAACTGATTACGCCGAAAGTATTTAATTTGTCATTATTTCTTCAAACAGTCAAATTTATATATTATTTTTAATTTTAAAAATTATAAAATATTTAGACAACGTAAAATTAAAAATTATTTTTAAGTACCTTAATCGACCTAATCTAATGAATAATGTACTATTAATACAAATATAAATAAAAAATAAATTCTTTCTCTCTCTCTTTCTCTCTTTCTATTTCTCTTTCTCTCGCTGTAAGCATATATTTAGGTGACTAGAATAACAAATAAAATAAATAAATATTTTTTTACATTTTTAAACCATATATAAAAAAATTTACGTATCTATAAAAATCCTTATTATATATGCCAAAATTTTTCATGAAACATGCGCGTGTACGTAACGAACAATATTCGACGTAAATAAAATGTGGCGAATAAAATGTTAACAAAGTATGAAACTTCCATCGGTTTTTGAAAAATAATATTTTTAATATGGTAATTGTGTCAGACGCAAAATAGTGCTTACATTATTCATTATTATAGGTTGTACAGATAATTTATCTTCGATACTTGCGGCAACACCACGTCAGTGACTGGCCGCTGCATTGAATCGGAAGGAAATAACGAATCACGGTACAGATTTAAACGGAGAGGGTGTGCGGTAAAGGGCACAAATATCGCGAAACTTTGGCGAAGAGATACAGTGCGCGTTGCAGGAGTGTCGAAGCAACAGCGTGTTGCTCTAGTAGTCTAGTCAGGTACCTCACCTTTCTGTTATAATCGCGTGCTGTAAATAATTACATGACTTTTGAGCATAATTATATAGCGATGCAACGGTAAAAAGGGGCAGTGCGGTAGTATTTTACTTGTACATTGACTTCATCATTTATCACTTATCGTGAACTTATAGCAGTAATAATTGGCATAATGAGACGAATAATTGTCGGGTAACGTTGCGAAACAATGCACGAATTTTCGTGACCGTGCACATCGTTCGTAAGTTCAACGTTCAAAGTTGGTAATTACGGTATCGGTGTCCGAGTACCGATGCTGCTTATGAAATGCTCGGCGCCGCCGGCCGTAGGAGGAAGTAAGTGCGAAAGCGGAAAGTAACTCCTAATCTCCGGTGGAAAGTGGCATTTATGCTAAATCGAAAAGAGCGTCTCGCTTCGTTTGCCGAACGAGTCATTGGAACAGAGCTATTTCAGGCTATAGCGTGAATTGCGCCCGTATTTGTCTCCGACCGCGTGGAGGGAAAGAGAGGCAGGATCGTTTCGCGACGACCGTGAGCTTGAGTAGCGAAATGTCGTGTCATCGAAGAAAAGTGCATACGCCGCGTGTGGAACTAATGATCGTGATTGCATCGCAGACTTCACCGAGCTCAGGTTTATGCGACTATAATCCAATATATACTTTGTCGTATTTAAGCGAACGATTTAATTAAATTAAATTTCTTCTGTTACTTTCAATCTCAAATCGATGTGAAGGAAAAGAGAAAGAGAGAGAGGAAGAAAAGTGAAGAAAGAATTAAATTCTTTAAGTATTAAAATAATTAAATACAAATGTATTATATATACATAAGAGGACATTAAAATTAATGAATAAAAAATAAAGAAAGGAAATCCACATTGTAAATTGTTGATTATTCCAATCCTTGATTGGAATAATAAAAGACATCTGCGTTATGCAATTAGTGTAGGAGGTATGTTGTATATAGGCGCGAATTATGATTTTGTCAACGGAGTGCGTTTTTGCATCGAATAACATTCCGCGTGCGTAACCATGAAATTATTGTGGCATATTGACGCAATTATCGCAGCGTTTCGCTGAACGAAAAAGCGTACGCCGACAGTTGGTCGAATTAGAGTTATTGAAATTATAACAGACTTGTACTAGTGTCATTTCTGCAAAAGCCTAAACCAAATCATAAAATTTCAGAAATTAGTTAAATAATTAATTTAATTTAATTGGTTTGAGTAATTAATTAAATTTCCATCTCTTTTCATAATTGCCATATATAATATGGAAAAACATAAATTTATTATTAATTATTACACACTGACATTTAATCACTTCTTGAAAATATATGATACTACTTTCATTTTTAATATTATATAACAGTATACTCTATTAAGCATATTAGTTACAATATTTTATCTAATTAATTAATTTCGTACAAATTTCAGAAACAGTGAATTTTGATTACTAAAGCTATATCGCGTAATAAATACTTTATTAACATTATTTCATCTTCTGTTATTTCGATCAAACAAACATAATAAATATCGCACGCATGTTTAAGTATCTCTATATCAACAACAAGATTAATCGTATTTGGCATAACAGTATTTGCATTATTCACTTTTTTTCTGCGTTTACGCAACGTCCCGAAGAAACGGCGTTCGTAATCCGTCTGCGACCGTAATACGATTATCCGGCAGATAAACGTTGCATCTCGGCGGTCTCGACTTTCATCCGACAGCTTAATTATCGTTTTCGTATAATCGGCTCACGGCACTGCTTCCAGACATGCCATGACGAGAAAGAAGAGGAGCAGCGATGTGGAGAGAAACGGATGGTTATCATACCGACCGCTGCAGTGGATGCCCCCGAGGAGAACGAGCCGACCCAGCTATTTCTACGCCTCCCCTGATTATACTTTCGGCAACACCAGGGATGAATCCAATCTGAACTATCATCATGATTTCCGGGACCACAGAAGGCAGCACGATTTACCGTACAGACATCGTGAGTCTTCAAATGTCAGCGTGAAGTTTATAATCGGCTCTTGGTAACCATGCACTCATAATTTGACATCCAAATTCGATGTAATTAAATAAGAAGATAGATACCATAATTGTAAGATATAGATTATAATTGACAGATAATATTAAATTTCTTATTGTGTAATCACTCAAGCACATCACGCTAAACGTAATTGTTTCTTAATTAGATATTATTACTCACAATAATATTGATATCACAGCTTGCATGATTAAAATTGATAACTTTATAATTTGTTTATTTCCGTAAATTGCGTTTTGCCTAGCCACATGTTTGCGGGAATTTAATGGCGGAAATGGCTCTAAATCGCGAGAGTTAAATGTAGAAAGTAAAAAGTTGGTCATTAACATTTTCATCGAGGTAGTAAACTTCAGACGGGGCCTTAAAATGATACAACAGCGTCGCGCGCGTTGTGTAAGTATGCAAGTTGCCCGTATGCAAGCAATTGAATTATGCAGAATCCGCATTGTTACAACGTTGTAAAATTCAAACGAGTTTCACCTAGAGCGCGGCAACAAAAAGAAATGCCCGGTGTCGCCTCGTAAAAACGCAATTATGGTGCAGCCGTAAAGTGAACCGCCTTCCACAGAAAATGCTCGCGCAATCATCAGGATGGCTCTTATTTTTTTTTACGAGGCATTTCCTCTCTATATGCTTTTTTGCTTTAAAAAAAGCATCTTCTTTAAAGTTAACGAAAAATTCTTCCTCCCTCTAAAAAAAATATCCATGGTCGTAAAAAATTAGAATAAAGCATGTGACTCGACGAGCGATTTTATCAAGCGTGTTGTAATCATTGTAAAAAGAGATTTTATCAACCGCTGCAACCGTTTACCCGCGCCGATATTTACTAAACTGGGAGTAAAAGGGGGAGCCGCCGACATTCGTTTGGTGCCCTCGATTCCTCATTCGCGACTCGATGCATTACTCGAGCAGATGCGCGAGTTCCCATGAACCCATCCACCAATGACCTATACCGCGGACTTGCAGCCCGGAGTCGTAATACAGACGAGAGGGAAAATCATCTTCGGGAGAAGGGATTCGCCATTCTCTCCTTTCGTAGGATCTAAGACACACTTACGACCCGGATAGTGGAATATGGTAGTCGCGTAACATCCATGGTGCCATCTCGAGCACTCGTCTTCCCGCGCGCTCGACATACGTCCGACAGTACGTCGTTAGGGCGAGAACGATAGCTCTCGGAGTTTAACGCGCCGCCGCGCCGGGTCCCGAATTAATAAGACGCCCGAAGAGAGGAAGGACTGCGCCGCACGAAGTGAGTAAGGAACGATGCGCGAACTCATCATCGCAAATCGCTTTCGCTCCCGATATTCATGTCAGCGAATAATGCGCCGCTTTCATACGTTATGCATCATATATGTCACACGCTGACAGACGATTAACGATTTAATCGCGCACACGGTGCCCCCCATCGAATATTGATGACTGCCTCGCGTACGCGGAGACCCACTTACCTCAATAAAGGAGATAACGTTACCGCCGTCGTCAGATGTGTGACTTCGCGAAAATCTCACTGCGTTTCTAATCGTATCGGGAACATATATCAGTGCTTCTTTACGTTCATTTTCGTTTAATCTTATAATTCTTATTGACTTGTAACTCGTAACACTCGTAACGATGTAATCGTATTAGGATTATCAAGATGCAATAAGTATATTTTGACGCAATCTCGTGTAATGAAAATGTAAATTTTATCGCGCAGGAGGCACATTCTGAATTTTACTTCACAGGTATGGCAAGCACGATACCATGGTTGCTATCAATGTCGTTACTGGCTGTCCCAAAATTTGCGGCTTACACGGGTCCCAATATTTTATCCAGGGACCTTCAGGCACCCGCGTTGCCATTAACATCGTCCATTTCTACTCCACAATTTTTTTCGCATGTAAGAAGCAACATAGAAGATTTCATTATCAGTTATTTAGTAAATTATTTAGTAAATTATTTAATCTTTTATAAATTAATTATAAATCATTTTTTAACTAATTTTTTTTTTAATTTTTAACTGAAAATATTTTAAAAAATGTGTTACACATAACAATTATATTTATTGCTTATTTACAATTGAGCCATTATTTGCCAATATCTTTCGAATTCTTTAAAATAATAATAAATTTGATGAAATTTTATCGCGTCTCGCTAGAACTTCAACTACAAAGATTCTACTGCATCGGTTTATGATGAACACGCCAGCACGTCGCGAAATTGCGATAATCATTCGCCGGAGGAAAAACCAACGGTTTCCACGATCACAGGCAATCTTTACGGATCGACGCCGCAATCGCGGCACCGCGTTGCTACATCCAATCTGGGAAGAAGCAATCCTTCCAGATCCATTGGAAGAGCCATCGATATGTTCCGCGCGGATCCGCACTCGGTCAATCAATTGGACTTCAACGATTTCGGCGACGGTTTCGCGCCGGGGCGCATCATAGACGACTACGTTGGTCCCGCTATGGAACTAGTGCGTGGCGCTTTTTCTTTTTTAGTTTAGACGAAAGTGGTCCAAAGGGTTTCGGAATGTCTAAATGTCGGCGATGTTTAATCGTAACGTCGAAATACCGTAATATTTTAACGTAATATTCTAATAGAAGCGAAAAAAGTCGCTCAAATAATCTATGCAATTTGATACAGATTGTCTGCATAATTAATACGCGCAATTTCATTAATGTATAGAAGTAATAAATCAACTGCAGCTTATCGTTTGTATCGCTTATATCGCGCTTGTCAGTAATATGCATATTTTTTGCTACATTTAAATAGTCAATTATAGTGCATGTCTCTCATGAATATCATGATGTATCAAAACAACAAAAAAATTATCAGCTTACATTTTACAGATTTATCTTATAAAATTGAAATGGTTTCGCCGACGAAAAACTATTTACACGTAATTACAAATCGAGATGAGTGATACAGATATTGCGGATTTTCCAACAAGCTTCGAATTTACGACTCGCCATTTTTTTAACAGGTGTACGCCTGGTCCACGATTGATTTTGAATTCGACAGTATCGACGCGCGAGACAACGCTATATTCGAGGGCGACTACATCGCGGAGAATAACCTGCCCCTGGGCCTGGAAGTCTGGCGCGATAAAGTCTTCATCACTCTGCCAAAATGGAGAACCGGCATACCGGCGACTCTGGCTACCGTGCCCAGACATTCCAAAACAAGAAGCCCCAAATTAAGGCCGTACCCTAACTGGCAGTGGCATCAACCAGGTTATCTTTATGCTAATTATCGGATTCTGTAGAAAAGTTCTTACTCTTTTCCTTTTAGACCAATTTCGGGGATTTAAAATGCATGCGGTTATTAATCTAATTTAAAGTCTTTTTTAAACTTAATAAAAAATGCACAATAAATAAATGTTTATTAATACTAGCAAAAGAAAAATCCGTTGTGCTTCATCTTGTAAATTTACATTTAGCTAGAAAATATAGCGATGGCCTGAATTATGCTTTAAAAAATTTAGGACAATGCTATGATTTGAAACGTAGTTTTAAATTGTTACAGTTACAATTATTTATTAGTTAAAGTTACAAGTTGCGAAGATAAGAAAGTGACTCGCGCAGAAAGATTCTGCGAGAATGGATTATAAACCTACGCAAAGAGTCTGGAATTATAAGAAACGGCAATATTATTTTTGCGCAATCAGGAAAGCGCGGAAACTGAGTAAATGGACTTCTCACGCGAATTGTCTCGCGAACCAACTTGCTTTATTCTGTTCAATGAAACAAGAGCGAATCGTAAAGAGCTATTTAATTTATGACGTCAGAGAGTAAGCCAGCAAGCTGACGAACTGGAAAGAAATATAAAGAAATTTTTTTTCAATTTGAAAAACTGTATTTTTCCAGTTTAGAGGAACAAACAAATTCTCCGCTATAAATTTAATCTATCAAAAATATACATATCTACCATGATCCGCGATAACTAAATAAAACGTTGCTCGTTCTATCTCTTTCCAGGAAGCTGCGAGAGCTTAACGTCAGTCTTTCGAGTTCAAGTGGACGAGTGCAATCGGTTGTGGGTTCTCGACTCCGGCAAAACGGAGCTCGCCAAAAGATCCAAACAAGTCTGCCCGCCCGCAATATACATCTTCGATCTGCGCACCGACACCCTCATCAGGAAGTACACCTTGCCGGACGAGCAGATCAAGCAGGACTCCCTGTACATCAACATCGTGGTGGATGTCAGAAACAACGACTGCGGCTCCGCGGTGGCGTACTTGGCGGACGTCTGGCGATACGGTATCGTGGTGTACGACTTCTTCAAGGACTCCACCTTCAGAGTCGAGCATCACTTCTTCTATCCCGATCCCCTGGCGGCCAGATACGAGCTGCACGGTATAAAGTTCCAGTGGACCGACGGAATATTCGGAATGGCGCTCAGTCCCGAGGACGTTCACAACGACAGAACGCTGTTCTTCCATCCGATGTCGAGCTTCCGGGAGTTCGCCGTGTCCACGTCGGTCTTCAGCGACAAGCGAACCGCGGATTATAGCACGGAGAAGTTCATGCCCGTCGGGAAGCCCAGGGCCAAGGACTACGGCCACTCCTCCGGGTCCGCCGTCGACCGGAACGGCGTCATGTTCTTCAACATGGTCACCAGGGACTCCGTGTGGTGCTGGGACACCAGGAAGGAGTACATACCGCAGAATCTGGGTGTGATTGGCACTAGCAACGAATCGCTCGTGTTCCCGAACGACATCAAGGTGGACCACGAACCGGATCAAAGTGTGTGGCTGCTGTCGAATCGATTGCCGATGTATTTGTACGGGACACTGAACAGCGGGAGTATTAATTACAGGGTGTTTAAGGCGGACGTTAAGGAGGCCGTCAGGGATACCGTCTGCGATCCTAATTACGTAGTCCCTGACTCGGATCCGGGCCTCGACGATACTTGTTGAAAATTCGATTCGCACACACGTCATTAAATTAAATTATATTTAAATTTTAATTCTCGACAACTCTAATCGGATTTCTCAACATCGACATGCCTCTTACTTTAAAGTCTAAGCATTAAAATCCCCAGCACTGAACATCATTCAGGGATATACCTCCTTTTCTTAAGTTATTCCGCGTTTATTTATATCATTTCTGATTTTCGCCGATTGTAAACTATAATAGATTGAATGATCCAGAGAACATATCTTCGATATTTAACACGCATTGTTTAGTATCAGCACGTTTATTTAAATATTCCTACTACTGTAAGCAGTGCAGTCTTCCGAGTTACCAATGATTAGACAATTGTATGTAAAATTTTTAGCATAATTACATTTTGTACATATTTGTAAACCATACATTTGTATAAAACTTTTGCTAGATGTATAAAATTATCTGATAGAAGTGAAATACATTGCTATCGCGTGTAATATTCCCGATAATTTATTATAACTGCTCATATATTGTCTTATGTGTATGTGGGAAGAGAAATGTCAGGATTGATCGATCAACCGTAAGCGTCATTAGCACAACCTTATTTCAGAAATTGAAAATGCACATTTTTTTTCTAGGGGGTGACAATAATGACGTTTCGTAACCGTAAATTCGTTACTTTAGACATTGTACCGTAATGTCTCTTTATTGAACCCATAAAAGATTGATTTACGACTAATGAATAAAACATGTGTTTTAAATGGAAATTAACCATGTTTGTATAATTTTATGGCATCTTATTTATCTTTCTTGCTTGTATCATACAGATTACATTTTGGATGAATGACCCACTTTTGGCGATGTCTACACTGAGAAAAAAAATTACTTAAA